CTTCCATTCCCCACCATCCAGTCAGAGCTGAAGAAGCTTCTTGGATGAGAAGTGAAACGTTTTCAAGAAGGCGGTAAGGGTATGGCTAGCTGATGAGAGCTAAATAGCTTGAAATAGATCTATACTAGTCTCCCTTTATTTATTTATCAGCACAAATTAAAAAAACAAAAAAAACCATATATATAAATATATATGTTGTTAAAGAGCATCAGAATAGTTTGACATCCGAGGGAGATGGAGGTTTAAGAAATTTGAAACATAAATAAATTAATGAGTGTGAAGGTTTATTCTCTGAATTTGTGGGTTGGTGTTCGAACGTTTCGTTACCAGGCTAGGTAACATCTTGAGCAGACTTTCGGGGATCCTGGTAAGGAAGTGTTTGGAAACCAACCCACAAGCTCGGAGAACAAACCTACACCCAAGATATAGATATTGCCACTATTGCAAATAAATAAATATAAATAAATCCCAGGCGCTCTGCTTCTCAGTCATGACCTTAGGATTTGTACTCTTCTTCCATCCAAGATTAAGGTAAAGGTTCCCCTCGCACATATGTGCTAGTCGTTCCCGGCATCTAGGGGGTGCTGCTCATCTCCATTTCAAAGCCGATGAGCCAGCACAACCCAAGATGTCTCTGTCAGGGTTGGGTTCCGGCAGGCTCTACTGCCGATTTGCTCATGCACGCCTTGCGCGCGCATGCACAATGCAATGAAAATGCTTCTGCTCATGCGCAGAAGTGAGAAGCAAGATGGCGGCACCTATGGCGAGCCAGAAGAACCAGTTTGGGGGTGTGGCATGCCTGGGCCACTGCTGGTTCCACTGATCCAGGCTGCCAAATCACTACCGGTTCGGCTGAACCGATCTGAACTGGTAGGAAACCACCACTGGTCTCCATGGTCATGTGGCTGGCATGACTAAACACCGAAGGCGCATGGAACGCTGTTACCTTCCCACCAAAGGTGGTTCCTATTTTTTGTACTTGCATTTTCACATGCTTTCGAACTGCTAGCTTGGCAGAAGCTGGGAAAAGTAACGGGAGCTCACTAGCGCTAGGGATTTGAACTGCTGAGCTGCGGCCTTTCTGATCAACAAGCCCAGCATCTTAGCCACTGAGCCACCCTTCATCCAAGATTACTTCAGCCCAAATTTGCTATGAGTTTTCAAGATCAACCAAGGTGCTTACAACTTTCTGTAAAGTTTGAGGTACAGTACATTCCAAGAAATGCGATGTGCATACTAGTATTCCTCTAGAATTATAATATATA